TGGGGAGATGGCTCAGCAGTTAAGAACGCTGGTTGTTCTTGTAGAAGACCTCGGTTTGAATCCCAGCACCCATATGGCAGCTAACAACTGTCCGTAACTCCAGTCCCAGGGGATCTGACCGCCCCTTCTGACCTCCGCGGGCATTGCATGACACGGGTGTACTTACCTACATGCAAACAATACACACATACACATAAAATAAAAATAATAAATTTTTAAAAAATTCTAATTCCCTAGTTTACACTGGAAATTCCATTTACTTCCATTTGTGGAAGAAATTCTAATCTTAGAAGTTATTACTTAAGAGATTCCCAGGATAAAACTTCAACAGGAGGTAACATTGGATGGTTTTCATTTTCTGTAGTTAAATAGCATTCAAAACTTTCCTTTTGGTGGCACACAAAAGGAAACTAGGTGTTTTGGTGGTGGTGGTGGTAGTGGTGGTGGTGGTGGCGTGTGTGTATATTCCAACACATATGTAGGCCAGAGTTCAATACTGAGTGCGTTCCTCACCGATTAACTAGGCTAACTGGCCAGAAAGCCAGGGCTCCTGTCTCTACCTCCCAATACTGGGATTACAGTCACACATCTCCCTACCAGCTTTTTATATGGGTGTGATCTAAACTCAGCTCTTCATGCTCGCACAGAAAGCACCTTTATGGGGCTGGAGAGATGGCTCAGCAGTTAAGAGCACTAACTGCTCTTCAGAGGATCCAGGTTTGATTCCCAGCACCCACATGGTGACTAACAGCCACCTATAACTCCATTTCCAAATGATCCAACACTCTCTCTTCTGTCCTCCACAGGCACTGCATGATAGGGGTGCACTTACATACATGCAGGCAAAACACTCATACATATAAAATTTTTAAACAAAGAAAGCATCTTTACTCACTGAGCCATCTCCTTAACCCCAATAAACTCATCTTGTTCACAACTTAGCCCACAGATTTACTTACATATGTAACTGAAAGGAGTTTCTCAAAACAGTACTTGTATTTTGTGTGAGGCACTGATATTTTCTGTTATAAATTTTAAATAGGAGCCATAATGGAACTCAGAGTACTTGTGAAGTATGCATGAAGTCTTGGATTCGATTCCCAGTACCAGAAGGGAAAATAAAAAAGCTTTCTGATTATAACCACCTTATAACCTGTGAGGTTGCAACTCACAGTTTAAAAAACACTGCCTGCATACATACCTGCAGTATTGTGTGGGTTATTTCCCCCAATAATTGCCAATCCTTTGTTATATGCTTTGCTTTATGGATTCAGTGTAGCCCTTGAGCACCCACCTTTGTTGAATTCTGATTGCTTTTATTCCCCAACAGTCCCCTTCCTCACCCCTCAGTTTCTATAGGCCAAGTTCACATTGCCTCAGTCTGGAAAGGTGGAAGTATACTGAGGTTTAGATCCTGCCCTTCGAGTACAGTTCTAACCCAAGGATCAGGGGCTCGTGTGTTCCTTTGATTGGGCAGGTTTCTTAAGAGACTAAGTCTCATGTAGTTTGAGAACAGTAGTTAGCACAGTAGTGTTCACTTCTGTGCTATGCACACAAGGACTGTGGAGCTACAGTAGTGTTTCATTGAAGCTGTGGTTTCAGTCCCGAGGCATTGGGCCCTGTTGTCATTCACAAACCATGGAAGCGTATCACCACATGAATGCAGTGCACTCTTGTCCCCATTGCTTTGAAAGGGAAAGGCAAACTGGCTGTAGTGTGCACACTTGTAGTCAAACCTCGTAAGAGGCTAAGGCAGGAAGATCTCAAGTTGAAGACTAACCTGAGCTGCATGAGCGACACCTGATTCTTGAAAAAAGCAAAGGGAGCAGGAGGCAAAATGAGTGACTGAATGAATTATGGATGTATGTATGGATGTATGTATGTATGTATGGATGGATGGATGGATGGATGGATGAATGAATGAATAGATGAGGAAGGGTAGTCCTGAATGTAGTAAGAAGTAGTTGGTGAGTAAACACTAAGATTTATGCATTTATTTCACTTTTATTGCACTGATAAGGGAATATAGTTTTTCATTTCATCTTACATGACCTGCTCTGGAAGCTATAGTGTAAAATCTCACTGGCATGTACACTAAGCACGTACATTGTCCTTGCGTAGGAAATAAAACTATGCCCTTAACTCAAATATCCTATAGCTTAAACTTTCTTTGACTTGGGGATGTTTTGTAACCTAAATTTCTCAGCCAAACACATCCTCTGTTGACTGATGAAATATTGGTTAAATTCATTTATTCTGACCATGTGCTCTCTTGGACTTCATCTCCATTTTGTTTAAATATTAATTTTTTTTCAGCTCTTTTCATGTGACATAATTAGAGCCTTTAGTTTCTTTCAGTGATGAGGCTCCTTTATCTTTGGGTGTTTTGGAAATTGTTGTTTCAATGTAAGGAGGAAACTTGATCACTTTGGAAAAAGTTTCTCAGAGCAGCATATCTCAGGGGATTCAGTCAACTTTCATTTTCTGGAAGCAGCTGCTGGAGGAGGAGATAGTATGAAAAGTGACGTGCCCAATGAGCACTTTAACAGAGGCCCCTAAAGTTATATCAGACTGTGTTGTCATGAGTGTCTCCCCTTAGCACCACTGAGAGCCAGCATCCAAAGAGGAACCCAGAGTTAGTGCACCTGTCTTGCTTTCCACCACTGACTGAGATGCATAGAGTATGGGTTTAGGATGGGCTCAGGCACCAGCCTTCCCAGGCAGGAGCCTAGACCCTTGTTAGGTCATATACCACATAAGCACACATCTAAAGTGGGCACAGTAGGGGCTGGAGAGATGGCTCAGTGGTTAAGAGTGACTGCTCTTGCAGAGGACCCAGGTTGAAATCTCAGCACCCACATGGCAGCTAACAACTATCTGTAACTCCAGTTCCAGGGGATCCAACACCCTCTTCTGACCTCTGCTGACATTGCACAAAATGAGTACACTTACATGCATGCAGGCGATACATTCATACATATAAAGTAATAGAAGTAAATAAATTAAATATTTTAAAGTGGGCACAAGAAATGCCTGCCTCCTCGACTTGCTGCAGGCCTAGCCACAGCCAGTCACAAAGCCTGTGTCAGGTGAGCACTGTGGTAGTTGTCAGTGCTAGGTACCTGACTTCTGGCATCTGAGTAGAGCTGAATTCATGTGGTTGGTTTGAAACTCTAATGTCTCCCCAGCTAAACAATACCAGTACATAGATAGTTTCTGAATTTTTGCTAAAATGCATTAAGATTCAGGATTCATGAGTAATCTTTTTTATACCAGGTTATTAAGTGGTGCTTTGAATACTACAGTGGTGTGGTTTGGTTTGGTTTGATTTGGTTTGGTTTGGTTTAGCTTTGGGGTCTTTTTGAGATGGGGTCTCCCTATAGCCTCAGCTGGCCTGGAACTCACTATGTAGACCAGGCTGGCCTTGAACTCACAGAGATCTGCCTGCCTCTGCCTCCCGAGTACTGGGACTAAATGTGTGCACTGCCACGCCTGGCTTATTTTGTTGTTGTTTTTTTTTTTTTTGCAACAGGGCCTCCCTGTAGCCATAGCTGGCCTAGAACTCACTATGTAGACCAGGCTAGCCTCAAGCTCATAGAGATTCACCTCTGCCTCCAGAGTGCTGGGATTAAAGGTGTGCACCAGTTAAGGGCTTAATTTTATATCCCATGCTGGAAAGTAAACCCAAAGCTTCAGCCATGCCAGGAGAGCACTCCACCACTGACATGAAATTTTCAAGGATCACTTACTGAGTCCTTCACAATCAGCAGCAGGAGAGGGGGAGGAGAGGAAAGAGGACAAATGGCAACTCCACGCTTCTCCTATTGAGCACACATACCATTCAAGGCCTGTATTCAACATCTCTATTTCTTTCTTGATGGTACAGTTAACTGACATCAATACAGCTCTGGAACACCAGCCATAGAGAGGACAAATATATGTGCACAAATATATATGACTACATATGTGGGTCACAGAGGTGGGGATGGTCCTGTGCAAAGTAGTATCTTTGAATCTCAGTAAGCTAGCAGAGCAAAAATTAGAGCCCAGCATTCAGAATGGGGATCTAGGCCCTCTCTTTGACTTTCCCTCTATTAGCTGTGGGAAGGGTTTGATTCTGTGCAAAAGACTTCCCAGTGTCCATGCATTTGCATGTGGTTGCAGCAACTGTGTGTTTCACTATGGGGAAGGCAGAGGTCATGTTTTGGTTTGTGTCTGAGGTTCTCTGAACGCCAGAGGCCAGGCCACAAGCACCGTAACCCCTGGATATGGTAAGAGCATGGCTATTGGGCACTCAGTGGTCCACCCAGGGACCCTTGAACCTGAGTTCTGACTCTCTAGTGATTCTGGAAGTCTTAGAGGAACCAATGAATATCTCGTAATGAATGCCATCTGGGTCCCATTTAAGTCCTACAGAATCATGCTTGTGGTATGGCCTGAGAGCAAGGAATACACGTCCAAAATTGTTGATTTCCTCCCCAACCATGGATTATTCAGTAGTGTACTTACTAGATAGAAAAAGCTTTTCTTTTTTCTTTTTATGATCTGCAGTTTATAAGATTTATTAGTAACTAAGCCATACTCACTTCTTTAGACTCTCAGAAAGTTCTTGGATTTATAGCACAATAAATATGTGTTAAAGTGTTCCCAACATTTCTGTCCTGCCTTCTTTTTAAGCTGGTTACGACTCTGCCCCCAAACCCTAAATGGCCTTACATGCCTCTCCCCTGACTGGCCACATGTTCCCATCTGAAGAGAGGATTCCTTGCCCTTCTTTTCAGGGGTAGGCGCTAGCCAGTGTCAAACACTTGAAGACCATATATGAAGGCTGGCCCCCCAGGTCTCCCCGTGACTGCTTTGTGCCTCATCTTGGCTGTCGGCCTTTGCCCCCACCTCTCCACACTGGGTCCTAGACTGCTGTCTCTCTGTTCATGAAACAGTTTTTAAGAAGTATGGACAATCGGAACAGATGGCAGGATTAACTCTGTTTTTCTTTACAGACACGAGACGACTTCCTGGGCCAAGTGGACGTGCCTCTTAATCACCTTCCGGTAAGGACAGTTACATGCTCTGTGTTGCATGCTGTGGGAAGGGGTTTCTAGGGATTTCCTACTGGAAAGTGTGTAGAGTAGCTCCCTCAGCATGATCAAAGTCCAGCCATGGCTGTTTTCTAGAAAGTTGCTGTCTTGAGGGGTCAGATAGAGGAGAAGTATAAAAAATCACGTGTCAGAATCATGTGCATTCTCTTGTTAGTATCTCTGGCTCCCCTGTCATTCTCTCTTTAGCTCCCCAACCTTTTGATATTACCCCTTACCGAATAGCTACCTCCTCTTTCCAGCCCCTCGTCTTGAACTTGATTTTAGCTCCCACATGACCTTTGATCTGGCCTGCTGTTGCTTTTCTTTACCAGAAGTGTCTCCATCTGCACAGGCCGTTATTTCCCAGGTTTTATGTGTTCCTAACTTTCTCCATCAGCTTGAGAACAGAAAAGAAGACTGTCCATTCTTAATTGTCTGTGCTTGTCTACTGGAAACACCACCCTCACCTTAGAATATTTTGGGGTGGCCTCTGTGGCTCTGTCCCTTCCTCATTGCTCAGTGAGCAAACTGTGGAGGCTATGGATTGTTAGTGCAGTATCAGTTACAGATAGGATGTGGGGACAAGAGTTAGAAGTCTTGGTAAAGGTATAGCACAGCTCATATTCCAGCTGCCATTTTCCAGATTATTCTACCTCTCTTCCTGGGGCAGCACAAAGTGATATAAGTAGCAGCCAGGAGAGGAGAGTCAAATATTTCTGCCTTACAAGGGCACTGTATTTTTTAATGCTTTGTGTGAGCATGTAGCATAAATAGTCTATAAACTAAAGTGACGGGAAACATCTAGTGCAAGCCTCCTGCTGTGTGGAAACCGCTACTGTTCCTAGACGGTAAATGCCAAGAAAGTCTGTGTCTTACCAGGGAAGCTTTGAAGGTGTGTTATGAAGGAATGGGATGGTAAGAGATTTATTCTCACTCACTCTGGGGAGCTATTAAGGAAGAAAGGCTTCAAGGAATACATTCCCTTACAAAGGACTGGAAACGGAAGTGATAGCATTAAGATATGTTTGCTTCAGCGTAAAAACCTGAAATTCAGGTGAATAAGGAGTGTGTATACCTGCATGGTGCTTTTATGAGACCCATCCCTTAAGCCATCAGAAACCTGGTGATTGTTTTTAAGATTTATGTTATTTATGTCTATCTCTGTGGGTGTGTGCCCACAGAGGCCAGAAGGAGGTGTTGATCCCTTGGAGCTGGAGTTACAGGCCTTTGTGAGCCACCCAATGTGAGTACTGGGATCCAAACTCTGGCAGTGAGTGCTCTTAACCACTGAGTCATCTCTGTAGCCCCAAACCTCATGATTCTTTCAGGTCTCACTGAGAGAATATGAATCTCTCAAAAATCTGCAAGCAAAGATTTCAAACATTTCAGCCTCAGTAGGTTTTTCCAATCCTGTTCTCAGGTCAAAACTGTAAAACCATGCTTTGAGACCATGCTGATCTGGTGACTGCTTCTTTTGTGACTGTCCCCAGCCACTCTTTTCCCTAAAGAACCATGTGATAGGCAAGGGAAGTTATTTACTAATAGTCTTTAAGAGTCATGAGTGAAGGACTGGAGAGATGCTTAGCAATTAAGAACACATGCTATTCTTCCAGAGGACCCAAGTTCGGATTTCAGTTTAAAAAAAGAAGAGCCAGGCATGGAGGTGTACAGCTTTAATCCCAGTATTTGGTAGACAGAGGCAGAGAGTTTGAGGCCAGCCATCCAGGGCTACATGGTAAGATCCTGTCATAAAGAATGAAAAAGAGTTGTAAGTGAAAATCGTTAACAGCTTTCTCCAGTATGCCCTTGTTTGTGTAATTTAGGAGTGACTTGTTTTAAAAGATAGAGTAGAGCTTCCAGAGAGCAGAAGAATGTTTTTCTTCTCTGGTCAAGTCAGTACAGGGAATAATTGGGCTTTGGATTTTTAGTGGTGACAAGAATAAGCTTTCAAAGAAGTAGGTGCTACAGAGGCTCAGCACTAGAACAGAAGCCATCAGATTAAGGAGAGGGTAATTATGTGTTCAGAGTACATCGCATGAATGTATGAAATGGCATGATGGAAGTCATTATTTTGTACAATTAATATATGCTAAGAAAAAAATTTTAAGATATCACAGATTAAAGTGACCACCTGGAGAGGACAGGGTCTCACAAGTGAAAGAATGGGGCCTCCCAGTTACACCGATGCCCAAAGATAGCCAGTTACATTGTATGTCCTGTACTGTGAATTGACTGCCTCTTTGAGGCAACTACGTTCAGGGAGATGGACCACAGTGGATACTGTGGGCACTGAAGGTACATCCTTTGTGTTCTCTGTGGTCATAGAAACCAGGTATTATATTCTGACTGGACTTTGCCTTGGAGCCAAGGATTTGAGGTGCTGTCATGTGTGTATTTGGCCATATATGTAGGGAACTTGTGGGGAAATTGCACAGACATACATTCTGTGTTGTCAAGTACAGTGTGAAACTGATGCAGATGTTGGCATTTAAATCTAGTTTGTGGATGAATCCTGGATGTTCTGTCTTGACAGCTATAAAACCATTGTTATGCTTAGATTATATGTGGCCTGCAGATCTAATATTTGTCTGAAATATCCAGTTTTAGGTGAAAAAAATAGGGAGATGGAAAAAAATAAATTCCGGTTGTTCCCATTAATAATGGAGTACATGGGCCCTGTCAGCCACTCTCGGCAGCCTTCATAGAGGGCTATGAAGGGATCTGATGGAGTATATGGCTGCTAATTGATAATGCCCCTTTAGCTGCCAGAGAACTCATTCCTTCAACAAATATTTACTGTAGATGGAATTCTGGTCTTTGCAGATATGTCAGAGGAATGAGTATTTCCCTCATGTGACTTCTTGCTGGCCTTACCAGAACCACTTGTGGTAGTTGGGCATTTTGAGGTGTGGCCAGTATGGTGGAGGAGTTTATAATTCTGCATTTTCATTGAAGTCTAAATGAGTTTTATTCCTTTCCCCTCCCCTCATGTCGGGTCTGTATAATTCTGCATATGTACTAAAAGTATTTAATTTCAGTAATAACAAGCTTCAAAATTGGAAAATCATGGAAATAAAGATGAATTTTTTTTCTTTTTCAAATCTGTACTAGCAGAATGCTTAATTATCCCTTCTCGTTAACATATATATTCACCTATTTCTAAGTATTTTATTACTCTGTACTATCCTTCTTGTTGTTGTGCCTGGTACTGGATTATACAAGGACTCTTTTTTTTAATGTCTGGGTTTTATTGCATTTATTTATCTGTGTTAGCACATGTGTGTGCTTTACCACAGTACTCGTGTGGAAACCAGAGGGCAACTCATGGAGGAATTGGTTTTCTTCTTCCACCATGTGGGCCCCAGGGATTGAACTCTGGTCATCAGGCCACCAATGGCCCTATTAGGAATAAAAATGGCTAACAACTGTCTATAACTCTAGTTCCAGGGGATCCATAGCCCTCTTCTGACCTCCTCCGGCATTGCACAACACAGGTGCACTTACATGTAGGTAATGCACTCATATACATAAAATAGAATAATAAATAAAGATCGTACCCATCTTTGGTCTTTGGCGGTCTCTGGCTTCTTTCTGGTGACCAGCATAGGATGAAACTCTTGAGGAAATCAGAAACTTGATGGAAAAGGAAAGAAATGACCTTAGTGTAGATGGTTATGAAATTGTTTTAAATAATTCTTAAATGTTCTATAATTTCTATAAATGTTCTGTAATAATTTATGTATTTCATGAGTGTGGTTTCAAGAGAGAAATACGGTAGATCTCCCAAATGATACTTATTGAAGAACTTTTCCTCATCAAAATTCTAAAAGCTTGTCACAGCAGTTGCTAAAGGATATTGGCATTTTCAGTATCAAACCTTGCTTTCAGATTCTCAGGCTTGGCTCGCCTAAGCTGTCACCATTTACCTCTGTATGTTCTCTGACCCATAGAAGCCCCCCACGCCAACTTAGAGGGTCAGTGCAGGCCCCCATCAGTGGGTCTTCAGGCTTGTGGAGTTGGCCCAAGTCTCCCCACAGCCTACTGCCAAGAACTGGGCACCTGGATTAATTAAGTAGCATGCTAGGCCAGGTGGCCATTATGTGACAGTCCAAATTGGCACCCTGCCAGGGAGACAGTGGGGAGACAGCTGGGAACTAACAGGTGGGCAGGGGCATTGGTGACCAAGGCTGCTCTTCATAGTAGGTAGTCACTGCCTCTGTTATCAGCTGCAGTGGCCTGGAGAGGCAAAAGGGCAGCTCTGTCATTATCCCCAGAGCAGGAAAGGCAGGCAGTGATAATGAGAAAGAAAATCGGCTTCCTTGGCTCCTTTGATCAGGGATTCCTGAGTGCTTCATATTCATCAAGTGCTTCCAGATGAAAGAAAATAATTTTAGAATCTTGATTCACTGTCAGTCTTAGCTGTGAGTTGCCATTCTCCTGGTTTCATTTGTGAGGACCAAAAAAAAAAAAAAAAGGAACTGGAGATGGGGTTCAGCTTCTATAGAATGGTTGACAGCTGTTTCATTTTCTTCTATTCCAGACTCACTTTTTTGCTTTTTAAAATTACATTTAGTATTTCTTTATTTGTGTGTGATGTACATGCCACAGTGCAGGTGTGGAGATCAGAGGACAGCTTTCAGAAGTCAGTTCTCACCTTTCACCTTGTGGGTCCTGGGAATCAAACTCAAGTCATCAGGCTTGGTGGCAAGCACCTTTACCCACTGAGCCATTTTGGCAGCTCTGGGACTGATTATCTAGTATATCTTTTCCACTTTATTTCACTTTGAGAAACAGAATGTAGGAAAGGAAATGAGGTGAGTAGGCTGACCCTTTATGCGGGTCAGAGAACTAAGGAAATACAAATCCGCATTCCAAGACATCTCCCAAGGACAGGCTTTAAAATCTGGGAATCTGCCCGTCAGGTGTGGTCAACTTCCATCTGGTGACTGGTAAGTTGTCTGGGGAGACTTAAGTTAATATTCCTCTCAGCTTCTGCTTTCCTGAAAGACGAGCTTGCCTGCATAAAAGAGGCCAGCTTTTCACTAGCTCTGTGACAGTACAGAGCATCGGCACAGTTCCCTGAGCAGAGGCTCTGTGGCCTTGGTGACATACTTGTTACCTAAGAGATGCCGGCAGCAAAAACAAGGCCTGCAAAGGCAAAGGGAGGTTGTAATTGAGGAAGGTCCTGTCACCTATCAGCTGGCCACCAGTGCTGACCTTTCAACACAGCTCCTTTGTTCTCCTCCACAGCGCTACCAGGAACAGCTTCATTTGTTGTGACATATGATTGCTGATTCTTTTAAATTTCTGTGTTTACATTTGTTTGCTGCATTTCAGTGTGTCATTGCTGAAAGTTTTGTTATCTTGAACCTTCTGATAACTTAGGGATAAAAATAACTCCAACTGAATGAAGTTCTGATAGGTGCCTGCCCATTACACCCCTGAACCTTCTTGTCCCTCTTTCTTATTTCTTATGCCCCACCCATCTACCACCCCCACAGTTCCTCATGTTTCCCCACTGTTCCTCATGTTTCCCCACTATCCTCTGCCATTTAGACTCTCTGCATCCTTAGGCATTACACTAGGCAGAGAGAAGCTGTTGCAGGAACATTAACTCAAAGTAGTCTGGAGCAGCCTGAGCTAACATTTTTTCCATAACGGAGCATTTTCAGGGTACTGAGGTGGTTTAAAGCCATCACTAGACTCACAAGTTGCCCAGGTGATCGACATTCTTTCACCCTCTAATATTCATGGCTGGTGGCAAGATGGTGAGCCCTTCTCAGATGTGCCCAATTCATTACTATGGAGCTTGGAGGGACTCAAGGCATTTATGCACTCTTGAAATTATTTTTCAGGTGAGGAGAGAGGAAGGTGACTTGTCCAGCAAATGACAGACTGGTGGCAATACTGGACCTGTTCCTGGTCCCTAGCACCATGGTGTTTTTATACTGTGGTCAGGGGTGTGGAGGGCAGGACTAGCCTGAGGCTTGGCAGTGGCTGGTGGTTTCAGCCAGGTGTTAAAAGCTGGTGACCTGGCAACTTCCCTCTCCATTTGTCTTCAAAATGATTTATCTCATCATGTGCCATAGAGATGAAATTCTACTAAAGTAGCTGTTCCCTTTAACATAGCAACATTATCCAAGCTTGTCTTTTTTCCTTTTCCCTCAGTTAGGCATGGTGGCTCATGCTTGTAGTCTCAGCACTGAGGAAGCTGAGGCCATGAGTTCAAGACTAGCCTGATATATATGGTCTGTTCTGCTACTTGCTATGTGGACAGGTATATGTCCAGAGCCCTCTAAGCCCTGTGCTCTTCTCTCTGATGCTCCTAGGTTCCTTGCTAATATCCACTGGCAGTCAGCCCTGCAGACTACTGCTCTTCCTCTTCCCTCTTCTCCACTTATAAGACCTTCTCTTCATCTTTGACTGGCATGCTTACCCAGGATATTAGTCTTTTCCCTGTACCACCTGTATACCATTGAATTGGTTTTCCCTAGCAAATTGTTGCTGTGTCATCCTCTCCTATACTCCTGTATAGTTATCACCCTAAGGACAGGTGCTCTGTGGTTGTCTTTTACGTGGTATTGGCTAGAAATATTTGATGGTTAAGTGAACTTTGTGTGTGTGTGTGTGTGTGTGTGTGTGTGTGTGTGTGTGTGCGTGCACGCGCGCGCCTGTATGTGCGTGTGCATGTGGATGGAGGTCAGGGGACAACTTGTGAGAGTCAATTCTCTACTTCCGTCACATGTGTTCCTGGGATCTACCTCATGTCTTCAAGCTTGGCAACAAGCTCCTTTACGTGCTGAACCATGTGACAAGCCCCAACAAAGTACTCTTTTTGGTTTTGTTTTGTTGAGACGGAGTCTCCCTGTAGCTACAGCTGACCTGAAACTTAGTATGTAGACTAGACCGGCCTCAGTCTCACACAGATCTAGTTGCCTCTGTCTCCTGTGCACTGTGATTAAAGATGTATGCCACCACACCCAGCTAACAATAGTATTCTTGATGACTAAATTTTCCATTGTGAGTGATATACTGGAAACTTTTAAAGAAAATATCCCCCAAATGTCAGTAAGTTTGACTTATTGCCTCACTAAGAACAATCTTCTAAGAGAATATAGTTTACTTTCTTTAATGAAAGTAAATTTTTAGGGCTCAGTTTTTCTACATCAAAGAAATTTATCAACTAGTTACACATGTTATACTTAGTGCAAAGCAGTATTCTTGACCCCAGCAATACAGAGGTGAACAAGTTCAAATCACTGAAGTGAGGATGATAAATTAATCAATAAACAAGCCAACAAGGTGATTTTAGATAGTGATGGGGCGGATGAGCAGACTGATGTGATATGGGTGGGCTGATGATGACAGTTTATGTTAGGATCTCTGAGGGCAAGATGGCCCAGGGGAAGGAGCCATGTCATCTGGAGTTGACTGTTAGGCAGGAGGACTCTCAGTGTATGGGCTCTATGGTAGGATTAGACATGATCTGCTCACATGATAATTCGAGGATGGCTGGAATATGAGCAGTGGTCAGAGAAACTGGCACACAGTGGGGATACGGGGGTAAAGCCAGATCACATAGCTTATAAGTCCTAGGAAGGAATTTTCATTTCATTATAATGAGAATAGAGGGGCTGGAGAGATGACCCAGTAGGTAAAATGATTGCCTTGTCATGCAAGTTTAAAAGGATCTGTGTTCAAGCCTTAGAATCATGTGGAAAAAAAAAAAAAAAAAAAAACATTGTGGCATGAGTTTATAATCCCAGCACTGAGAAGCCAGAGATAGGTAGATCCCTGCTGTTCATTGATCATCCTCATAAGCCTAATCAATATGTACCAGACCAGTGAGAAGAGATCTTGTCCCAAAACACAACCAAAAAACAGCAATGTGAACAGCACTCAAGGTTGTCCTTTGACCTACACACACACACATATCCATCCATCCATGTGTACCTGTACACACAAACACACACACATACATACATGTACACACTAAAAGGGGGTGGTTAGGAAGCCATTAGGAAGGATATAAACATTTTAAATATAAGTGCATCCTCCTACAAACACACACATATTTACCTGACATCCTATACCATGCTACTGTGGCTTGTCTCTCTTCCTACAAAAGTAAATATTTTTTAATATCATTTGGTCTGTATATTTGACGTTTGACTACATATCTAACATTTTTAGAATAACGGCACATATTTTTCCAATTTCTTGCTTTGTTAGGCCAACCAACTTTGAACAACAAAAGCAATCCCCAGTTCTTGTGAAACAAGCACCCATCCCAGTTGCACTAACCACTTCTAGATATTAGTCCAAGGAGGCTGGTTGCTGGCCTGGATACTCTGAGCAAGAGATAACTGGGCAAGCCTTTGAGGCCAATATTTTAACGTGAGAAATAAGGTTGCCTTCAAAGGCTAGGCTTTGCTTATCCTGTTAACTCTGCTAGGTTTCTTGTGTCACAAGGATAATGAGGCACCAGTGACCACTGGTTTTCCAAAGTTAATCGGCTCTGGGAGATTGAAGAGCACCCTGCAGTTAGAAATTACATTTGGCAGTAATGGTTATAATTTTGTCATTTGTCTCTGGCTGGGGTTGACTACTAGAACCCGATGTAGATAGTGACATCTAGTGGATCTTAAATAGATAAACCTCAGTGGGCCTCTCAAGTGTTTAATTATTCATCTGGTCCCGGTTGAGGAGACAGCTCTTCTTTTACCCTTGTCATATTCTGAAAGTATAGCCAAAGTATCCCTGCTGAGTAGTGCCTAACATATATAATCAGTAAGGATATTTTTTTGCTAATCTATTTCTTCTCCCCCTAGACAGAAGATCCAACCATGGAGAGACCCTATACATTTAAGGACTTTCTTCTGCGACCTAGAAGGTGAGACAAGGGTGGATATATGTGTATGGGGGGCGGGGGTTACAACTGCTGGTTTCTCTGAGGACAGTTTGAGCAATTGTCATAAACAGGAAGGATGGAAACAAGCCATATCCTTTTATAACTGGTTTTCTTCCTGTATGCAGTCATAAATCTCGAGTCAAGGGATTTTTGCGGTTGAAAATGGCCTACATGCCGAAAAACGGAGGTCAAGATGAAGAAAACAGTGAGCAGAGGGACGACATGGAGGTAGGCTGGACACCTTCAAGCCTTGGCCTGTTTCCTGGCTATTGATCTTACTCTTTCCATTTTGAGACTTTGCCACTGAAGGAAGTGAATGCTTGTAAACTTAAATGTCAACACACTTATGTATATTCCTGAGATTATTTCACCACCAGTGTGTTTGTTTTAGCTGAAATCTACTTCTCATCTTGTGTCACGACACTAAGAACAGTGGAAAGGAAAGATTGGGCTTTAGACAGTTATATTAGTTGTCTTGTTGCTGTTATAAAATCCCTGACAAAAGTCACTTAAGAAATGAAGGAGGTTTGGGTACAGTCTGTTGTAGGGAAGTCCTCTAGGTAAGATCTTGAAGCAGCTGGTCACATTGTATCCATACTCAGGAAACAGAAAGTGAATAGGAAATGGGGTCAGACTATAAATTCACAAGACCCCCACCCCCATGACACATTTCCTACAGCTGGGGACCAGGTGTTCAAATGAGCCTAAGGGGGATAGCTCACATTCAAACCACAACAACATGAGAGCATCATCTGTGAATAGACAACCCCAACTCCCCCAACACCACCACCATCAAAAGTCCTCCTCACACACCTTGGGCTATTATTGCTGTAGACTTTGAATTCTTACAAGGTTCCTTTTAGTGTTTAAAATCGCTCCAGGATAGATGAGGTGATTTAGAAGAAATCGCTCCCGTTTTGGAGTCATTTGTCCCACAGGTAGCAACATATGCTGTGGAGCGCTCCTCAGGAAATGTCGTTTGTAATTAGCTGTCCAGACAAGTGTTCCTTTTTGTCCTCCCCGGGGCACAGTGGGCTCTTCACTTTCTGGTCAACTGACAAAAAAAAGATACCACCTCATTCTGGTAATATCTATGCTTCAGGTCCCACTGTGCCTTCTCAGCATGTGCCTCTGACAGTATTGTTCTGTTAGCCCAATTCTCATATTCTGAAAGCTTCCATTGAACAAGGCCTATCTGACTATTTTCCTATCTGTTTGCAGCTGTCTCACATGTATGATATGTAAATGATGCACTGTGGTCATGTTAACCAAACCCCTTCCAACCAAGAGGCCATATTTCCAGGCAGTATCTTGCTGTGGGCGTCCATAACTCTGACCCTGTGACAGGGACTGAAGGGGTGGCAGGAGGCAGTGGAGGTTGAGATTTCCCAAGCAAAGCAACTGATTTCTGTATCAAATCCTAGGAATTTTTTGCACTCTTCTTGTCCTCCAACTGTAGTAACCAGTGAATTGCTTGATTTTTCCAGTGGCTTTTCTAGGGAATGTTAGGAAAGCAATATTTAATGCCAAAAGTATGTGTAGTAACAGTGTAACTCTGACCCTGGCACCATGCAGTCTGTGCAGTGTCTGAGCGGCACAGCAGCTTCTAGGCTTCTTCTGGCTCCCAACTGTAGCAGACACAAGGTAAAGGCTTCCCCTCAGACACCAGCCCCAGGCTGTCTTCCCCGGAGACCAACAGCCCCTATAACTTACACATGCTTTCTGTCAGAACACACATGATACTTCATGGTGATGTTAAGAGGGTGACAGCTGTGACAGCTATAGCATGGCCCATGTCATTGGCTTTGTACAGCCCTGGAGACCTTCAGGTCAGAATAACCAAAGGAAGAGTAAAAATTTATGGTAGGACTTAGGAATCTAATCAGGGTTGGTGAGATGACTAAGCAGGAAGGGGACCTGTCAAAACTAACAACCTAAGTTCAATCCCCAGAATCCACATTAGAGGAAAAGAACTGACTCATACAGTGGTCCTGTGACCTCCACATATGACATGCACATACACACAGGAGGGAGGGAGGGAGGGAGGGAAGGAGGAAGACTACACAGCATATGCACACCTGGTGGCTTCCTACAGTGCGGTCAGCTTGGAAGGTGGCATGATTAATTGACCATTCATTGCTCAAAAGATTTTGAAGACCTAGAATTGTTTTTCTTTTTCTTCTCTTTGGGAGGGAATCTATCCCAGTGTGACACAGGAAGCCATTGTAAGACCCAGAGTAAGGCAGAAAAATACCACACTGTGATGATCTCCCCAAAGTTTGCAGCCCAGGCTCATGACCTCCCATTCATTTCACTCCACAGCACGGGTGGGAAGTTGTTGACTCAAATGACTCCGCTTCCCAGCACCAGGAGGAGCTCCCTCCTCCTCCCCTACCCCCAGGGTGGGAAGAGAAAGTGGACAATTTAGGACGCACTTACTATGTCAACCACAACAACAGGAGTACACAGTGGCACCGGCCCAGCTTGATGTGAGTACCACCAGATGGCAGAGATGCTCAGTCACGCTCGCCCTGCCTTGTCAGGAGTGGCAATGCTGGAACAAGTTTGGGAACCAGGTGGTCCTCTTCCTTGGGGTGACATGTGAAAAATGTGTGTGTGTGTGTGTGTGTGTGTGTGTGTGTGTGTGTGTGTGTGTGTGTGTGTGTCAGTCAGTGGGAAGAGGTCACTGCCCTGTGTTACGCTGCCATTTGTAATGCAACTGGGGTTGTTCTGTACATTATAGAGGTTGCTAAGCTCTGCTCTTCCTAGATTCCTCTTCAGTTTGATGATTATCTTGCTTCCCTCGTCTTCAGCTTCCTCGCCTGCCTGACCCAGGGTGGAAAGCAGGAATCATATTGGCTTTGTCATTTTCTTTTGGTTGATGTTTTAGAATTTTATTCCTTTTTATTGTTTGACTTAGAAATCATCACAAAAACTTTTTTTTAATTTTTTTAGGAAATTTATTTATTACCCCTTGGTATAATTAAAAATGCAAGGATTTGCAAAGTCAAAATTACTAATTAGTGTTTATTTTATCAGCTTACCAACTTATAGAGATAGTAAGGAGGTTAACATTTGTTCTCTTAGTTCATTTGCTGGTAGAAAATAAAGACTAGTTAAACCTTAACTACTTTTTTAAAGAAACAAGATTTTTCAAGCAGCTTTTTGCTAAATGATATTGTAGAGCAAAGCATAAATCTATTGAAATACAGTAAGGGGAAAATGTAACAGCCAAGTGTACTAGGTGAGACCTTTTTCCCCTCAACCCAAACTGAAAGAAACTCACCAATGATGCCCTTTAAGCAGGTGGTATCAGCAGTATACTGAAAGATGTTCTTCTTCTTTAAAAATTTTAGGTGTGTTGCCGGCATGTGTATAAGTGCATATAATGTTCTTCAGAGGCTGGAGGAAGGCATCAGATCCTCTTGATTGGACAGTTGTTAGCTGCCATGTGCAAGAGCAGCTAGTGCTCTTAACCACTGATCTATCTCTCCAGCCCCTGGAAGATGTTCTTTTTTTTAATTGAATTTTTTGTATATTTTATACAGGACATCTCAAACAATCTTTATCATCTTTATACCCCCGTCCCCACTGGCACCTTCCCATAGCCCCCCACATTAGAGCCCATATACTCTGTCATCTGTTAAGGCCCACTGGGTTGTGCGTGTCCCCACACATTCCCCAGTGCAAGTCCGTCCACTCAGTCTAGTCAGCCTATCTAGAGTCCCTTGTTTTAGATCAGCTCTTCTTCATCTAGCAGCAATCAGTTGCCAACATTCCTTCAGATAAAATGTTCTTATAATTTCTTTATCCTTAGAAATTTCAAAGATATTCTTCATATAATTGGGAGAATGGCTAGGGGCAGGTGGCCAAGTCAGCTGGCATAGGATTGATGTAATGTGGAGGCAAAGCTTGCAGAATATAGAGAATCTTGCAGAATCTCCACAGGTAGTTCTCTCTGGGCCTTCACAGAGGTTCTTGTAACTATCAGCTGTCCTTATCCCTTCGCAATGCCCAGCATGGCCTTTGCTCATTGCTCCCAAGACAAGATAAACATAAATGGAAATGGTGTAGTTGATACTTTTGAACATTTATTAGTGTTTTTTTTTTCATTAATAATCACTACAATTAGAAGTTTGCTAAGTCATTTGACTGGCTGGCTGCTCCTGCAAGGACCTGGGTTCAGTTCCTAGCACCCACATGGCAGCTAACAACCCTCCTTAACTCGGTGTGATACAGGCTCATCTCTAATCCTCATATACCTGTGTGATACAGACTCATCTCTAATCATCATATACCTATGTGATACAGATTCATCTCTAATCCTCATATTCCTTGTGTGATACAGGCTCATCACTAATCCTCATATTCCCTGTGTGATACAGGCTCATCTCTAAGCCTCACATACCATTCCATCTGTTTCACACCAGTTACTGATTAACTGAGTTGAATATGAAAAATTGACATAATTGATTTTAAGTATGCCATTCTTTTAAGAAATAATTCTGGAGTTGTAGACTTTCATATATTACAGTAAGATGTGAGATGTAGACATGGTAAGCGTAAAACTTTATTCTTCTGAACTTCTCAAAGTCTTGGTAACAGGTCAGCATGTACTACGTATCCTGTGTTTCAGACCAGACATGTAGCGCCTGCCTGAGTTCCTCCCTCGGTATGGAGGGTGATAGCTTTGACTGGCATTTCAAAGAACTTTAATTCTTGATAAAAATTCTTGGAGTGCAATACTTCAAGTGAGGAAGGTCATCCTAAAGGGAAATTGCTTTCATCCTTAATGAAAAGTAACAGAGGACACTCCGTAGCTTTCTTTGCCTTCCTCTTCTGGTGAGATCCTCTGTGCACTTGACAATGTGTCCTCGTCATTTTCCTTCCAATTTTTATGTTTTGTAATTTATTACATGTCATTTATTCTGTGCTTGAATAGTAAACCTTAAGAAACGACTGCATCACAAAAATCACAAATGCAATCTGCTGTTTTCTGACAGAGCCAGCAGTGCCATTTTAATCAACTATTTTTGTGATTTCAGAAATTTTATTACTATCCTTATGCATCCCTTGATTTTAATAATTTCACCCATGGTAATGTCAGTTTTGTGAAGATACTTCTATTTAGTGTGCAAGTTTATTCTAATTATGTTTGATATAACAATATAGTTTGTTAATGGGAAGAGTTTATGTATTGTATATACAAATATGATAAAACTTCATTTACTCTTATTTTTGTAATAAGTAATTATAACTCAAATATGTATTAACTGGAAGCTAATCTTCATACTACTTCCTTTAGCAATAAAGTTCATAGTATAAAGATGTTTGAAAATATTTAACTAGAAAGCTGTGTCAAATAGTTGCCCATTTACTTACATTGCTGTTAATTGTAGGCTAGTTGTTAGCCTGTGACCTACTAGACCTTTTATTTGGGTCATGAGTTAGTTTGAGATTATTAAAATTTTTTTAAACCTTTATTTTAGAATCTCTAATTAGGCCTATTGATTAATACTGTATTTCAGTTCATCTAAAATAAAATTTTCAAGTCTTTTGAAGCATTAAGCTGCAATATAGCTTTTGTTAACTGGATATGGAGTACTACTGAACATGTTGGAGAGTTCCTCTAAAAGACATTTAGACTTATACCTTAGAAGCATCTAGTGATATCCCCCAAAGGAAAATTGCCTGTCATGTACTGTAAAAAATACTTAAGATTAAGTCAATTAAGTCATTTTTAATAAGTTCTTAACTCAGATCCCAAATTAAGAGCCTTGTATGCCAAAAATAAATAAGGTATGACATAACAATATTGTCTACACACTACTTGATTGGGAGGTTAGCACTTGGTGTTTATTGAGATTTTTTTAAAAATATTATTTTTATTTTATGTGTATGAGTGTATTGCCTGCATGTATGTGAGTACACCCGTGTCATGCAATGCCATGGAGGTCAGAAGAGGGCTTCGGATTCCCCTGGAACTGGAGTTAAGGATGATTCATAGCCACCATGTGGGTGCTGGGAGTCGAACCCGGGTCCTCTGCAAGAGCAGCCAGAGCTCTTAACCACTGAGCCATCTCTCCAGCTCCTAGGATTTTCTTTTTAAGAAAGTGTTACCCTGTAGCCCCAGCTGTGCTAGAACTCACTATGTAGACCAGGCTGGCCTCAATCTCACAAAGAAGGAAAGAAGGTGTACAAGAGTTTTGTGCAAACACTACTGTACTGTACCTCTGCCTCCTGAGTGCCAAGATTTTTGTCAAATAAGACAGAAAGCAGCCAAAAACTAAATTGCGTTGGATCAGAAGTGCTTCTCTTGGGATCACAACCTTGTATTTATGCTATGGTAGCCTTCCTTCCTGATGACCCAGAGCGGTTGCTTTGTCACTGCTGGACTTCTAGGAGGTCCCTGCTGACAGGCTGCATGTGTGAGCTTGCCTGTCGCTTTCTTCCTGAGGCCATCTAACCGCTGCAGCATACTAGCTGGAGGACTTGCATCTATCCTTTCCCTTAGATACTGAAGTACAGCTTGAGGTCGTCATCCCTCTATATCCATGGCTTCCACTTCTGTGGATTCAGCCAACCACAGATCAAGACTATTCAGGAAGACATGTTTTGCCTGAGCTAAAGCTGAGCAAAGGTTTATCCTTGTCTTCATTGCCTACACAGTGCGGTATAAGAGCTGTTTGTAGAATATTTACACTCTATGAGATATTATAAGTCATCTAGAGGTGATTAAAGGTGTATGTGAATTTTGTGCAAACACTGTTGTGCTGTATTAGGGACTGAGCATCTATGATTTTTAAATCCTTGGAACCAGTCCCCCGTGGATGCCGAGAATGGACAGTGTATGACTGATAGATGGTCTAACTCTAGAGCCACCGCACTGAAGCTGCTTTTGTTGGATTGCAATGACCCCTGCAGAGTGCTCTAGCCAGAAGAAGGGGCCTCATATTTGGTGTCCTGAGCCTTGTCAGGGTTTGACACTCGTGTTAGTGAGTGTGTGACCCCCAGTTAGGGCTAGACTATTGGAAGGCTAATCCCAAAAACTTAATACACTTTTCTTCTTGTACCCCTCACCCTCCTTTCAGGGACGTGTCCTCTGAGTCGGACAATAACATCAGACAGATCAACCAGGAGGCTGCTCACCGGCGCTTCCGCTCACGGAGGCACATTAGTGAGGATTTGGAGCCTGAGGCCTCAGAAGGTGGTGGAGAGGGTCCTGAGGTATGTCCCAAAGTGCTGCCAAAGTGCAACTTGGTCTTCTGTGGTCCCTAGGGTGATTCTGTGTCCTTTTACTTCTCCTAGCAAACCATGTATAGAATGTGAAGATCATGGCCTCATAGCTAATGGATTCCCGTCTAGGTGGTAATTAATTTAGAAAATATCTGTGAAAGCCATGTTTGACCAAGTACATGTGATTTGCATCATTACAAAAGGGAACAGTATTATTTCTAGTATGAACGTCTCATGATATTTTTGCTTATTCTTCCCCAGTCTAACCAGTCTCATGAAATGGCATTAAAGATATCATTTTTGAGTGATTGAATGACCTCTGATACTTGTTTGAGTATCGTGGACAAGTCGTTTTGAAATCTTACAAGAGATTACCCCCAAAAAGTTACAAATTTGAGTTAATAGAAATGTTTATCATTTTCATCTTAGTTAGCAGTGCATTCCAAAAAAAGGCTAATTAAGCAACAAATCAGGATAATCTTAATGTCCATGCTTTCTGACAGCTATGTTTATTCATCAGGCCTTGTGTTAGGATGAGTATTCACAATGTTGCAGTGATCAATATTAGAAAAGCAAGGTAATGATTCCATAATAAATTCACTAAAAGTTATCTTATTAAGAATCCTCATTAAGAATCCTCACAGCAGTTAGAGTAAAAGAACTCTTAAAAATCACTTGTAAATCTCTGAGGCACTTCTCTACTCCATTCACTTAGTAGCAGATACCAGCAGTAAGCTACTACTGAAGGAAGGTGCATCAGTAAGGGGTGAGATCCTTACTGCTGAGCCCACCTCCTTCCCATGGTAGTCCTGCCCCTTACCTGCTTGCTTACCTCCAGCAGTTTGCTCTGGAGCTCAGTTTCCTCATCTGTTGGTCGGGACCCTTGTTCTGTCTTCCATGTGCTTATCATGAAGATTGTGTGCCTCAGGCTAAGTGATTTATTGGAGGGAAGACAAATGGATCCCTAGTTCCTAGCACTTACCTTCATGTCTCATTCCTCTAAAGCCTTGGGAGACCATTTCAGAGGAAGTGAACATGGCAGGAGACTCCCTCAGCCTGGCTTTGCCCCCACCACCTGCCTCCCCAGTATCTCGGACCAGCCCCCAGGAGCTGTCAGAGGAGCTGAGCAGAAGGCTGCAGATCACTCCAGATTCTAATGGGGAACAGTTCAGTTCTCTGATTGTAAGTGGTGTTCTTATTATAAAGAAAAACTGCTGAGCAGTGGTCATTTGTTCTTGCTTGAGGAGATTCTTGCATGCAAACAATAGTCAAGGTCTTCTAGCCCCCAATTAACTGACTTTCTCCAAAGTTCTTCCCTCCCTAGGAGAGGCAGAACTATACAGAAGTTAGCTTAGGCAGGTAAGAATCTTTATTTAGAAAGGAGCTATACACCACCAGCTCTTTTTCTTGTTTGAAAAAACCCTCAGAAAACAGTCTTTTGAATGATTTTCATAATTTCTAGCTTTAACCTTGTAAAGTTCATTCCCCATCCAAAAGGCTCAAGAAAATAGTACCTTCATCATGAGGGTGGCTTTCCTATTGAGAATCAGAAGCCCAAGAGCCTCCCAACCAATCTTCTGAAGTCATACTCTGCATGCCTTGTCAGTTTGTTTCATCATGTTTAAGTGACCTATCCAAGGCACAGCTTGGGGAGGAGGTGGAGACACCCAAAGACCCAGCATAGGAATCCTTGAGGATAAAGAGTGTGAAATTGGACCTGACACTGAAGTAGCACTTGAACCAGGGTTCTCAACCACCAGAGAAATACCTTTCTAAAAGTTTCAGATCAGTCAGAAGCAATAAAAAGTCACTAAGAGCTTTGTACTAGACAATGCAAACCTGCAGGAAGAAAACGTAGATAATTCTTGTATGTGTGTAGAATTAAGACCAAGTACACACTCAGTATTTCTCAAGAAATTAGACTTGAAGATGTACTATAGGGAATGATGATAAGTCACTACGTTGTAAATGGCATCCTTGTACTAATACACATATTATGAGCATATTGAATGTAAATGGTAGAAGGGCTACATAAAAAGTAAGAGCCACTAAGTACAAAGTTATTAGCCCTTCTATTATGGTGTTTTCATTTTTAAAGAAGCCATTGGCCTCTGCTATAGGAGTTGCAGTGATTACTTCTTAATGTGCTTTCACATTAAAATTCTATGAATGTTTTTCAAAAAAAGAAATACCACTGAGATGAAAATTTAGTACTAAATGGATACCAAAAAAGGTTGTATACATGAGATACTTGAATTGGTAAAACTGTTACTATGGAAACAGCATAAGCAATAAAGTCATGTATTTAAAATGTATCAAAGAAAGAATTACAGAAATTATAACAACTACACACCATTTATCAACCATGTGAAAAAATTCCTAGTTTCTGTGTTAATATTAAATTAGCATTTGAAATGCTCTTTATTCAGAACTCTTGTACTTAGTGATTCCAGAAGCATGGCATACCCTTAAGACTCAAGTGTAAGCGTATATCATTTTCAGGTTGTATTAGCATAGAATATCTTAGGGAACCTTCCTTGGATTTTGATGCTCCAAGTCACTCTGTATTAAAGGACACTAGAGTGAACTTTTTACTCAAGAATGACTCCTTATGTACTAGAGAGATGGCTCAGTGGTTAAGAGCACTGGCTGCTCTTGCACAGGACCCGAGTTCAGTTCCCACCACCCTCATGGTAGCTAGTAACAGTCCAGTAACTCCAGTTCCAGGGGATCCAACACCCTCTTCTGACTTCGATAGACATTGCACAACACAGGTGCACATATACATGAAGGTAAAACAGTCATACATGTAAAATAAAAATAAATGAGTCCTTCATGCTACCCAGTGTGGGAAGGCTTGGGTGGTCCCCATTAGCACCAGAGAGCTTTTGCTTGAATTTTATCATGTACCATAGATGAACCTGCTAGTGAGGAGGCCTCCCTTGCCTTCCGTCTGTGACCTTGTAGAGTCTTCCTTTAGATCAATTAGGCTTTGTTTAACCATACATAATTCAAGCAAGTACAAAGATCATACACAACACACAAGATTGTCTTTGGGTTAACTTCACTTTTGGGCTGAGTTCTACTCAGAAGCTAATCAAAAACCCTTCTTGTCTCAGAGGGAAAAGGACATGATTTCTAAGTTCCTATGGACATGAAATTCAGCCTTGTCTTTGTCAACTGTACTAATAGTTGTTAAATGGCCTTATGTCACTTTTTCTTCCTTCTTTTCTTCTGTCTGTCAACTGAGAATTTGCTGAAAGCTGGCATCCCCAGTAGCCTACAAGGCCTGCTGCCCTCGTGTTGCTGATCATAAAGCAGCTCTTGAGTGCTGTGGGGACCTGTCTCACTGCCTTCCAATAGTTTTGGTCTTCTATTATTTTTAAATCCTGGTCTGCTGAAAACACTAAGACTTGAAACAGACTGGTTGAGTTCTTTAAAGATTACTGTCCTTGTTTTGAAAAGATGTGTAATTTGAATGCCTCCAATAGCAAGGACTACAGAAGAGTAAGTAAAATGGTGTCTGGGCACCTGCCTCGTGACACTTCTTGTCTTTTCCTCCCCTGCAGCAGAGGGAGCCCTCCTCGAGGCTGCGGTCTTGCAGTGTCACTGACGCCGTTGCAGAGCAGGCTCACCTACCACCGGTAACAAATGCTCATTTCCCGTCATCAGCTGACTTTTGGGCTTTGATTTAAAATCTTCAGGGCTGCTGAGAAAGAGTTTTTCCTGTTCAGAGCCATTCACCAAATAAAGGAAAGCTTTGAAAAATCTTCCTAGTAAATTGCCCAAGGAGAGTAACTTTCCAACCCAGAAATCCCAAGTACCAATCAAGCTTCTAAAATGATAAAAACTTCATTGCTTTGGTTTTTCACTCAAACGTATACATTTCCAACATGCTTAAATGATTGAAACTACATGATCCATTCATGATTCCTTTTAACCTGTTTGGCTGTTGTAGTTATGGTCCAGAGAGCTGAACTCCCAAACTCATTGATCACTTCAAACAGGAAGAACTCTTCCAGACAGATAGCCCGACTTCTTTCTATTACTCAGTACTTAAACTCTCAGCTCCACAAAATGGCTGTGCTCTCTCTATAAAAGGTAGCTCTGTGAATGAAGATTTAGCTGCCATTGGCTCTTTCCCTCCCACAACTGTGATAAGTCTGCACAAATATAAGCATGATTGAAGGTTTATTAACATCCAGTATACACAAAAATAAATATCTGATTGGAGGCATGTGAGCATTGCCTTGGGAGAGCATACAAAATTTTTTTTTTACATTAATTTGTTTCTTCTTTGGGAGGTGAAAATATTCTGTGGCTTTACATGTTCAATTTGATATTTGACCTTGACCCTCTTTGTTTCTTTGTTAGATGTATGGGGGTTTGGGAGGTGGGGTAGGGGTTAAGACAGGATCTTGTTCTATAGCCCACAGTGGCATGGAATTCTAATTATAGCCTCCAGACTAGCCCCTTCCTGCTTCTTGGCCTCCTGAGTACTGGGATTATAGGCATAAGATACCATGCCCAAGATTTTTGTTGTGTTTTATTTTTTATTGCTACAGACGTTTTTGACTGACTTCATTATTATGAACTTGAAGACAGCACCTTTAAAGTTTTTGAAATCGTCTTTTTAATAGTGTATATTTTTACTTGACTTCAGAGGATATATTTCATCTAGGTTTTAGTATTTTATATTTTCAAAATGAAGAAATGGTATACCAGTCAAGATAACAGATTCCGTTGTGATGCACACCATGTAGGCTGCCTAATAACAAGCTTGACAAAATGGTCTTTTCTGAGATGGGCCCGGTGCAAGCCTCCCAAAGCAGAACAGCAGGCTTTGATGAACTGGTGGGGAGCCTTCTCAGCCTATTGATTCTCTGATTTTCCTGGAGAAATTAATTGCACTTTCTTCTTCTTCAAAATCAGTGTCAATTTTATTTGCCAAAGAGCTTCCTTGCCTGGAAACTGTGATTCCTTCCTCTCCCCCTGTTCCCAAGATGCTGTGCACTCATTGACCACCAGTGGCCCCTATCACCTGTGTTTTGAGATTGGCAGATATAAGAATCTTCTAAGTTTTGGACCATTAGGACAGCAGACTAGCTGTCTTTCTTTCAAAACGTCTTCATTTGAAATGGCCATTGGTCACCCATATCAAGGGTGCAGCCTGAGCCTCCTTGGGGTGGTATGGGGTTGCTATGGGAGGGCCGTGTTCTCTGGCCGCTGGTCATCAGTGACTGCTCAGCCTCAGTTGGACAAGGTGGGTGTCAGGGATCCTAATTTCATATCATCTACCTGAGGATCCGCCACAAGCAGTGATTCACTAAGCAGTGGGTGGTCCCCCAAGTGCATTTCACTGATGTGCATTATCATTTAACAGCCCAGCACCCCAACTAGGAGAGCACGTTCGTCAACTGTCACAGGTGGTGAGGAGTCAACGGTAATGGCACAATTTATCAGACACTAATAGCAACATTCTATGGGACAGTTTAATATTTTGATTAACGGTGAATATACTCTCTCCCGCTTAAAAAAATAAGATCAATTTCACCATACTGTAGAGATGCACATGTTTCTTGTTTTAAACTTCTCGTTGGGGATTATTCAAAGGCACTGAGTAAAATGGAATGATTTTCAGTCCTATACAGTTTTATTGGAAATACTGTCAAACATGGCTAAGTGTGTTTAATTGGAGCATTTTGGATATAGTTTTGCAAGTTAGTGTTTGTGCTACTTTTCCTTGCCGCTAGAATGCTTGGTTAAACTATTTTGGTTGGAAGAGTATCAAAGAAGCTATAGGAACCTCACGAGGTTGTGTGTGTGAGTCCAGGCATGTAAAAGGCCATGCGTTCATTCCTCTCCATCTCCCACAGCACAGTTTTTAAACAGGAAACCAAACTTTCTGTGTCTCCATCATAACTGGTAACCTTTCTCTGCCACAAGGGGTTGGACTCACAAGAATAGACAGTGTTTGTGCAATTCCCAGGGCAAAGAACATAATTAAGATATTTTAATGATCTTTGGTGTTATTGTAAGGCAAGTATCTATTATTATTTTTGTTCATTATTTTGAACAATTTGTAGTATTCATGTTTATAGATAACTTCTGTTTGACTACTTGATTTAATTGCATTCAACTTGATCTTAAAATCAGACCAGCCTGTATTAGATGCTTTGCACAGAGATGAATATTTGAAGAATTTTCTTTATTGTTTCACTTTGTTGCGCTTGCTGTAAGTACATATTACTTGCAAATAACTTTACATGCACAATAGCTGATTTTCCAAAGGATGTTGATGATTTAAAGGAACATTTAGGTCTGTTGTCAGAATTTAGCACTTCAGCATTACACAAAAGAAAACCAAATTGGCAGTCAGTACAATGAAGTACCGAGGCACTGTGATTTAGGTGAAAGTCACATACTGGAGAGCTAGACTCCACCTCCAACAGAATTCAAAGAAGCCTGCATGAGCTGCTTTATTTCCTACTGCGCACTGGCAGTCTCTGTGAGAGAAGTAGAGCTGTGAGATAGACCATTTCATGGGATGTTTTTGTTTCCTTACACCCATAAGCATCGCTGTATCATCTGTTTTTTTTTTTGCATTTAATTGGTCTTGCAACCTGCTTAGACCTTGAGAGTATTGTGATGGCCAGTGATAGCAAATGGCAGAGTAAGCTGCATTCTGTAGTCAGAGTCACCAGCAGGACCAAGTGATCCATCTAAAGGATGTCCCACGTGGCTCTGCGCACTGCCCTTTTCTTGCGTTCTTCTTTCCTATGTTCTCTCTTCCATCAGGGAATTGAAACATGGGTTGGCTTGATGTTGTGGTGTGGTTTGGGTTGCTGTGATAAACACAATGGCCAAAGCAACTTGGGAGAGGAAAGAGTTTGTTTGGATTATAGGTTGCAGCCCATCGTGGAGGGAAGTCAAGGCAGGATACTCAAGGCAGAGTCCTGGTGGCAGGAACTGAAGCAGAGACCACGGAGGAATGCTGATTACTAGCTTGCTTCCTCTGGCTTGCTTAATGACCTTTTTAAAACAACCCACAGTGGTACAACTCAGAGTGCTGGGGTCCTCCTATATCAATTAACAATCAAGAAAATGCCCACAGACATGCCCACAGGCCACTCTGATGGAGACCATTCCTCATTTGAGAGTCTCTCTTCCTGGGCGTGTATATCTAGGGTAGTGTCAAGTTGACAAAAACTAACCACCATTGGGGTTTTATTTTTAAAAGCTTGGTAGTGGTAGTTCCTAAATGTTTCTCCCACCCTGAAACAGTGTTTCCTCTGAACCTAGATAGGTTTAGAAGGACCAGATTCTTTTCCCTCCCACCCAGCACCCCTTGTCATAGCCACCCTAGACTCTATTTTCTGTTCTGTCTCCTAGCACAGCTTTTCCCTCTGACCTTCTCGCCTTCTTTCCACTTGCCCCACTTTGATGCATATTCCAGGCTGGACCAGCTCCCTGGGATGTATCACCTCACTCCTCCCTATTTCACATAGGCATGCTTGTGTGTGCAATTACACACACAGGTGCTATTTAATTTTATTTAGGAAAAACAGCATATAATACAGTATGCATAATGCTCAGCAAATTGTTTAATTTATGGTCATTTTCTTGAATATGTTAATAATCACTTGGTATTCAATGATAGGAATGCACCACAGTTTCTATAATTTTCTCTACATTGAAGGATATTCGCCATCCATTGCGTTGCAGTAACCATCTTTCTATGTAGTGCTTTCATTCCCACAGTGATGATGAAGCACTAAGTCTCATCTGAGGAATCACAGCCCTTTGATTTGTGTTAAAAGACTGCACACCAGTGTCACTTTCTTTACAGGCTACACCGGGGCGCTCCCTTTCAGACAGAAGGGGGGATAGCACAGAACTTGATCTTCACTGAAGAGATTCTAAAAATGTACTGTGTAAGGTACCACCGTGGCAGGGTCTGAGTGAGTCTTAGCGACTCTATGATAGTCAGTGTCAAAGCATATCCAAACTTTCTCAGTTTAAACATAAGCAGACCTTTTGTTGTACTTAGTAACTTTACCATGAGACTGTGGTTAATGGCTATTGGGAATCTTAAAACATAGCAGTGTATTTGGTCTATGGACAAAAACTATGAAATATTAAGTTGGGCTTACCAGTAGGTTTTAGCTTGTCTGGATTACCTAACTCATTCCTTGAGATCATCTAGAGCATTCTGTCATTCACATAGTAAAAGTCTGATTTGGCCTCAAGCCTGAGCTTTTTCCACAGACCTGTCTGCAGAAGCTGAGTCTTGCCCTTACTGGCCATGTGTCCTGGGCATCCATGTTTTGAGTCACAATTAGAATCATCAACATAAGCAGTTGTATGCGCTCGTTTGGAGAAGACACTGTCAAGAAACATTTTAATAACACCATCTTGCATAGATGCAACTAGATTACCAGCTGCCCATTCAATTCCCAGTAGACAGAGAATGAACATCTTAATCAAATTCAGTGTTTCTCTCTGCTGTACTCCTAATGTTTCATAAACTGTTGGGTTCTGTTAACTGTGCATCTGTGAAAGTAACCCGGTTGCAAGAAGTTCTCTGAGCTTACAGTTCTGAGACTATCTGTGATGCATCCAAGTTGTTTTAGTTTGTCATTTGCCTTGTAAAATATTTTTTCCAGGAATGCTATAGCT